CCCCTTCCTTTTGCCACACTGGCCAGGGCTAAATAATATGTTTTGAGTACTTAGAGTCTACTAAGCACTTGTAAAGCCCTTTACATGTATTATTTTACCTATCCCGATACCATCATTAAAAGATAGCCCGGCTAGCATGGCTCAGTGGTTGAGCATCGACCTATGAACCAGGAGGTCATGGTTTGATCCCTGGTCAGGGCACATGTCCCAGTTGTAGCTCGATTCCCAGTAGGGGATGTGCAGGAGGCAGCCAATCAATGATTCTCTCTCATCATTGGTATTTTTATCTCTCTATCCTCCTCTCTGAAATCAATAAAAATGTATTTTTAAAAAAAGGTAGGATAGAGTAACAGTCCCATGTGTGAACTCCATAGGGGAGAGCCTGGGTTTGGATCTCATCTCGGCTGCTCACAAACTATGTCACCTTCGGCAAGTCCCTTATTCTCCGTTTGTGTCAGTTCCATCACCCATAAAACTTGAGTATCAGTCATACCTTATCAGGTGATTGGGAGAATTAAATGGCTTAATATTCACAAAGCAGTGTCTGGTCCTTTGTAAGTACTTGTAATTATTATCATTATTTCCCCTTGACAATTAAGGAAATTGAGTCTTAGAGTGGTTAAGTGGCTGGCCCAAAGTCCCCTGGCCAGATCAAATTGGCACCAGGTCTAATTTGTCCTCTCTTAACCATTTTATGCCCTGACTCCAAAACTGTTGGCTGGGCTGCGGGCAATGCACTTGGGTGCAAATAAGGAATCAGTATTAGCCTTGAGCAGTCAATGTTTGATTTCCTTCATGGGTGAGAATTTCTCAACTATAGATTATCATTGGGGGGAACTTCTCCCAGCTTTACAGCTTGGTGAGTCCTCTGGAACAGTATCTACTTTCAATATGACTTTAGGTTAACTTCAAATAATGAGGGAGTTGTATTGCAAATCTTACTGTGTATTTGTTGATCTATGGATTCTATTTATATTTATTCTTAGCCACCAATTCTTAATTCTTCCCATATACAGTTCAACATAGCAGAAATATAGGTCAGTGTCTACCCAATTGCTACTATATTTAAAGTTTACTTCGATACCACATACCCCAGGGAGCTGCTTGCCTTGTTATTTTGCATGATCTCAGGATTCGTAGGTCTCAGGCCTGCCTAGTGACTCTTGAGACCACAGTTGGGTGTAATTCCCCTACTGCCCACCAGGTGTCCCACCCAGACCTGCTATCTGACATGCAGTCAGGAAAAGGGCATTCTTCACTCTTGGAAAGGGGAAAAGGGAGTAAAAGGGGGAGTGAAGGGGTTGAAGGGAAGGGGGAGGATGATTGTGACAACACTTTCAGATTCTGCTTCTTGCCTCCAGGCAAAGGGACTTTTTCAGAATTGTTTTTCTCTGATGCATAGGTGTCTTTCTCCAGAAAGCCTGGTCAGTTCCCTGCAATTTAGAAAGCTTTTATTTCCTCTAATAAATGGTGTCTGGCAGGCCCTTTCATCACTGAGCTTGGGGTTGGGGCTGCTGTCTGCATCCCCTTCCTTTTGCCTGAAAGTCCCTGACAGCCTCCCAATCCTCTATGGGTTCTCCTTCCTCCAGCTTCTGATTGAAAAAGCCATATGGGCGTGGCCGGTGTGGCTCAGTGGTTGAGCATTGATCCATGCACCAAGAGGTCCCCGGTTGGGGCACAGGTCTCGATCCCCAGTAGGGGGCGTGCAGGAGACAGCTGATGGATGTCTGTCTCTCATCCCTGTTTCTATCTCTCCCTCTCCCTTCCTCTCTCTCTAAAAAAAAATCAATAAACATATTTTTTAAAAAGAAAGACAAAGCCATATGGAAGGTATAGAGCTAGCTGGCCCGTCTGATTCCTCAGTACGTCCTTAACTAGGGAGGTCAAGGACAGGAACCAATGTGTGGTTGGGGCACTAACCAGCTGTCTTGGAAATAGTACACTATTTCTCCTCTGATAGTACTATTACTATGACAGAAATACTTCCTCCCCACTCTCCGTTAAGGTTGTCATTTGCTTCTCCTGGTGGGAAGAGGAAGGGAATTTGGATCCACTGACTTTTAAAACCTGGGGACATTTTAAATTCCAGGAGACATGTTATTCTTTGCAGGTGGTTGGCTCCTTGTCTGCCATCAGTCCTCCCTCCCCCCTTCCTTTCTGTTGAAGGACCTCCTGCGATTGGAAAAGGTGGGCTTGGGATCAGGGTGAGAGGGAACTGTGACTGAAAAAGCCATATGGGCGTGGCCGGTGTGGCTCATGTGGTTTTGCTCTTGGACATTGCAGTCTGCACTGGGGCTCTCTGCAGGCCCTTGTCCATCACTGTTGTCACCCCAACAGACCTTAGACATTGACCATAGACCTGAGGCTCCAGATGGAGGCAGTGCTCTGAGTGGCCTGGAAACCAGTGGCCTGACTGTCCATTGCCTGTGATTGCAGCTCCACCGGAGGCCCCTGGGGAATGTGGACTCCATGTCTTCATTCAGCACCGGTTTTAGAAGCTTCACTGTGGGCTGTTTCCCTAGTAAAGGACCTTGGTCACAAAGACTAGAATACAGTCCTAGGAGCCTGTCTAGCTTCTGTACCCACAGCCTTATTATATTCATGGCTTTTAATATTCGGAGAGCCTTTTGCCAATACACATTTTCTCCTGAAGTGGGAACCCGGAGCCCAGACGCGATGTATTATTGATAGGGTTGTAATTCACTCCTCTGGGCTTGTATCTACAGTGTATACCATTAGCACAAAATATTAAATTACCAGCCGTTGTGTATGTTTGTCTATTCAGGTTTGGCTCAATGATATTTGCCTTTCGTCTCAATAAAAGATCACGCATAAAGGGAGCAGGGCGATCTTATTTGTTGTTGTTGTTGCAGGAGAATTTTGATGAAATCATTTTCTCGGTCCCGTGTTTTGGCAGTCCGTGCTCTGCCATAAAGATATGAGACATAAAACAGTGGGGGTTGGATGGGGAAGGGGGTTGGGGCCGTTTATTCCAGCGCTCAGCACACACCAGCTTCCCTGGCCGCCTGCCCTGGGCCGCACTCAGGGTTGTCTCCCTTTGCAACGGGGCGGGAGGCAGTGGGCGGTGGGCAGTCCAGAACAGGAGCCAGAAATACAAGCCACGTATCCTGCTGTCTAGATGGCACTGCAGTGGATTTGGGGTGTGGGAGCCCACCAGCGCGTCAGGCACAGACCCCTGTAGTCCTAGCGGCAAGTCCTGGCTAGCCTCTGACAGTTAGCCCTCAGGTCACCATTGCTGGGTCCAGCCCCACCTGAGCCAGGTCTCTCTCTCTCTCTGTCTCTCTGTCTCTCTCTCTCTCTCTCTCTCTCTCTCTCTCTCTCTCTCTCTCTCACACACACACACACACACACACACACACACACACACACACACTCTTCTTCCATTAAAAAGACTCCAGCTCAGATCAAGCTGCCAATGGAAGTGCCGCCTCTCTCTGCTTTGTGCCTTTGGGTTCCTGCATAGCCCTGAATGGAGGGTGTGTGCTGGTTACTAAGTACTCCAGCCCCCTCCCAACCCCCTTCACTGCATCGTTTTTATGGGTAAACATTTTTTAAAAATATATTTTTATTGATTTCAGAGAGGAAGGGAGAGGGAGAGAGAGATAGCAACATCAGTGATGAGAATCATTGATCGGCTGCCTCCTGCACACCCCTCACTGGGGATCAAGCGCCCAACCCAGGTATCGAACCCTGACCTTCTGGTTCATAGGTCATGCTCAACCACTGAGACATACCGGCCAGGCCAGGTAAACATTTTTTTTTAATGCCTGTGGCTTGTCCTTCTCACCCTTTTGTTATCCGTGGGCCTCTGAATGGACGGGCGAGGGTGACAGGGACAGGTTTTGAATCTGTGTTAACCTGAAGAAGAAAAAACATTTTGGAGAAGTGCTTTTTCATCTTGGTTCCGACATCGGTCTGGGAGCCTTTAATTCCTCAGGGAAAGAGTCCCAGGGAGGAGGGTGGAGGGTAGAGGGGCCCCTTTCCTCAGAGGTCACTGGCTGGGGGAGGGACTCAGATACCCAAGTGACAGGTTATGCCCCCACAAAGCTGGAATCTCTTTAATAGAGAGCTCCTAAGAAAAACACCCTTTGCCAGGCCAGGGGGCTCTATTGAGTTTTGCCGCCTGGGGCACATTCTGGAGGCGAAAACCGGTTTTTCTGAAGACTCAGCAGGGCCAGGGCTTTGTTCAGAGCTTGCCTCCTTAGCCAGACTGGCTCCTTGAAGGAGACCCTGTTTACCTAAGGAAAGGGCAATTAAGAGAAAGCCTTGGGCATCCCCCCTGCATAACTGTGGACTTCCTTAGGACTTAGGGGCCCCCTATCCCCCTCCAACCTCCCCACAACCTTCTCCTTCCCTAAAGGAGAGAGGTGGAGTTTTTAAAAAAATCACACAGGCTTGTAAAGCCACAGAAATCAGTGTCAAATCCATCAAAGCAAATCACAGGCCCTGACAGCTGAGGCGTATTATTTGTGTTTTTCCTCCCAGATTTCTCCCGAGCCTGGTGTGTTCAGCATGTATCGTGGGGAGACGAGACGCATATAAAGGCAATTACAATTGATAAAGGATTAATGTTGGATCTGGCATTTTTTTGTGTGCGTGTCAAATATGTTCCAGCATGTTAATCTTTGCAGAATTGACACCCACTCCCTCCGAGATACATCTTGTACAGCGTCTGAAATATCTGCCACCTGCCTTCACTTAGGTCATATTTACATTTACTTTATTACGATGTAAGTGGGTTTAAACACATCTTACGGGAGTTTTCTACCCCATTCTGCAGGTCCTGCTGGCACCGCAGGTGGGGAGGCTGGGGCGGCGGGGCTCCTTGCTGATTGCAAGCCAGGCTTCAGCCCCCTGCCTGGAAGCCCAAGGACAGACGGGGCTGATAGATTGTTCCCCCTCAGGCCTCCCCTTTACCCAAAGGAGAGGTGACTTCGGTCAGGGAGTCAGCATCCAACAGCATGAAGCACAGACGCAGCTTTCCAGCAGACGGACAACTTTTTAATGTTTGTAAGTTACAGAAAACACGCATTCCCGTTGCAGGCATTCAGAAGGCGGTTCCTATCTGCGGTGCTGTTCCCAATCCACCGACACCCGTCCCCTCTGCAGAAGACACTTTGCTCCAGGGTCTCCTCCTCGATCCCATCTCTCCCTGGGGTTCGGTTTTCTAAGTCAGAGCTCCCCCGCAGCCACTGTTGGGGCTGCTGCAGCTGTGGCGTCAGCTCCATGCCTCCTGAACTTCACTCCACTGAAATCTGGTTGGGTATGAAACAGACTCCGGTGGAATGAAGGACAAGAGAAACACATGGATCGTCTGGGGGTCTTTTTCTCAGAGGGTGGCTGCACGTCATCCCCAGCCTCTGCACGCAGGGTTACTGCCTGCTCGCAGGCCTTCGGGATCTTTGACTCGCAGATGTGGGAGATGTGAGGGACCTGGATACACTTTGCCCTCCCAGGATCACTGCCTTCCACGGGCTGCAGAGAGCAGGCTCGCCAATATACCCTGTGTCTGCAGCACCGACGGACAGTGCTGAGTGCGGGCTGGGCTGTGGGACTGGCATCTGCTGTTTCTCACCCCTGAGGCAGCCATGCAGGCATATCCAGGGGGAACTTCTCTGTCTCCCTCGTTGGGGAGCTGGCCACCTCCCCACTTTGTCTGTGTCCCCCTGTGTGTGATGTGACTGAGCTCGGTGTGGAAGTCAGGTGTTCTGAAGTTACTTTAGAAAAACCCATCACCTATGGACCTGTTCACCAAGGTGAGGGGATGCAGGGACGGGGCCTCCTCTCCAGAATGCACTGTCCAGTGAGCGTGGACAGCACTTGGCAGGCCCATCTGCCAGCGGGCAATCAGGAGGAGGGGCTGAGGAGCTCGGGAGGGACCAGGACCCCGGCTGGAGCCAAGCCCACTCCTGGGCTGGGGGTGCGGGGCAGAGGAGGGTGAGACTCCTCGGTCTCGCTGCTGGATGTAGACTTACCCAGGACATCTGCTTTCTGGTGGCCCCACATCCTTTCCTAAGACTGTTTGGAAATGGCACACCCTCATCTTTTGGAGGCATAGGGTTGGGGGCTGTGGGGAGGGAGGAGATGGCCTGGCTCTCAGAGACTGAATTAACTAGGGCTCTGAGGCCTCCCCACCCTCCGAAGAGAAGTGCCCACGAACCAGTGGCTGTGTGGCTGCTGCCGGGCTCTTCCTTGCTGTGTTCAGACATGCCCGTGGCTCAGTGCAAACCCCATAAAAGGCTGTTCTCAGCACCAACATGCACACTGGGTAGTTAGGGCAGATCCGCCCTGTTGTTTGGAATACTTTCTTCCTGGGGCTTGTCCTGACCCGATGCTGGGAGGCAGCAGCTTAGAACGTGGCTCCTCCCCTGACATCCAGCCTCCCCAGCCCCGGGCATCGGGCCTCTGAAAAGACTCCTCAGCAAGGGCTGGGGGTCCTAGCCATGGCCGAGGAAGGGCCCCGCTGTCCGTGGGTACTGAGAGGAAGAAGGCTGGCCCATCCTCCTCCACTCGGCCTTCCTCATGAATACTCAGTTCAGTCATGAGAGAAACGCGGCCTGCTTGTGAATGGCCCACCCCACATCGTCCTGCCATGCCTTTGGCCTATTTTAGAGACCTCCCGTTTGGCTCCGACAAACGATGGAGGAGAGGGTGGAAGGAAAGAGTTCTGAGTTGGGAGGATTCTTTGCATTCTCTTTGGATTTTAGCCCAACTTGGAAGCAAAGGGGCCAGCGAGTCTCCCTGCAGACCCTCCTTACCCCACTTTCATCCTCCCCAATGGATGGCCCACCAGATTCTTCAGGTCCTCGGCGGGAGTGTGCGGAGCGCCTCGCCTTCACGTGGGGTCCTCGGCCTGCAGGGTGGGTGCTCCGGAGGCCCCCTGTCTGTAAAAGCACGTTGTGAGAGACAATGCAGACAATAGGCAGCACTGGTGTTATTCAGAGACCCCAGACAAAGCAGGCCCTTTCCTAGCGCCCTCCCCTCACCCTGCAGACCTTCAGCTGCTACAGACAGGGCTAGGGCTGTACCAGGAGCCCTGAGCACTCTGGACCCCTCGCGCAGAGTTCAAGATTCTTCTGTCCACCATGCCTTTGCCAAAGTGATGCCCCAATGATCTCTCCTTGGCCACTTGCAGAGGAGGGTTTGGGCACAAGAAGCAAACCAGGCAAGTGTTTGGCTTATAGAGTAAGCTCTTTCAGTGACTGCTTTCCTGCCCGCAGCTGCCCTCAGGACTTGCCTCACATGGCTTCCTAATAAAACCAACTTGGACAAGAGAAGCAAAGAAGGGAACCGGGTCCTTGATTTCCTGTTAGCACCGCACCTTCCAGCCCAGGACTGAAAAGCCCGCCCACCCCCAGCTCCTCGTGTTGTGTAAATCTCCAGGAATCAGACGGAGCTGCAGTCCTGGTGCCTAACTGCTCAGCACCCCCGTTCCACGCCAGCTCCTATTATGGGTGAGCTTTATTGCCTGGGATCAGTGGAAATCCCCAAGACAACCCTGAGCGAGCTGGAGGTTTGGTTAGAACAGCAGGGTCAGCCACGTTCGCCTTGGAGAAGGTGATTAACGTCCAGTGAATGTGGCCTTTTCCACCGTCCATCCTCCGCGCTTCCTGCCCAGTGATTCTGGGGAGGCAGCCTCTCAGCGTTAGTTTCCCAAAGGCCCGCAGATCCAGAGATTTCGGGACTCACCTGTAGGTATGAGTGTCTGCACCTTCAACACAGCAGGGCCTATTATGAGCTTGATTCGAAACAATCAATAGATTTTTCAAAAGATAACTCAAGCAAAGGGGAGGCTGCAGGCTCACGTGCATGAGAGAAAGAAAAGGAATTCCAAGTCTTGGAATGTTCTTCCACTCCTAAGGTTTGAGGACAGGAAATGAGAAAGGAGAACTACTTACTGTATAAAGTGTCCAGTGCTGCAGGCCCGTGCAGAACAGAAATGGCTCCTGGGGGAAGGTAGGGGTGGGTCCCAAAGCCAGTCTCCCTTTAGTGAGAAGGCATATGAGAGCAGAGGAAAGTGCGTTGGAGTGGAGGGGGCTAAAGGTAGCTGGAGAAAGACAGTTTGGAATATGGTTGGGGTTCCGTTGAAGTTTTGGAATAGAAGTTGGTAACAGACAATGAAAGAGAGAGAAACTGGTTTTTCCAAGGCGAGGGGGAAGAAGAAGCGCTCAGCCCCTTTCAAGGAGGTGGCACTAGTTTCACTCTTTATTTATGCACCTCACAGCAAAGCTTCGGGTTACCTGCTGGGCCCAACCAATGGAGAGAGGGCCCGGCTGCTGGCCCCGCCTCTCAGGACGCGCAACCCAGGAGGCCCTGAATGGCGAGGCCTCTCTGCAAACTAATGTTACTTTCTTATTGTTCCGGGAACACCAGGAAGGGAGGAAAGGGAGGTGAGGTCTGCATCACTGGGGAGTCTGCAGGTTATCTGAGTGCTGGCCGTGGAAGCTTTGGCTTCTGGAAGACCTGTAGGAAAGAAAGGGGAATGCTGAGATCTTATCCAGGCTGGAAGAATCGATGGGTGTGTGTGTGTGTGTGTGTGTGTGTGTGTGTGTGAGTACCTGTGCGTAGGCAGCAGGAATCCATGGTCCTTTGAGTTTTCAGCTGTGACCCCGTTTCTTAGCGCTATGCCGTGCACTTCAGGAAGCCAGCCCATCCCAGGACAGCCGTAGACAGAGGCCCCAGGGTCTCAGCAGAGGCCCACCTCCTGGTTATTCTGATATGAAGCACAGACTGAGTTTGCTGCTCTCCCATGAGAAGCAAGGGGCTTTTGCAACCCAAGAGACTTTGCAACTTGCTTTCCTTCCATTCCCGGGGTGGGGAAGAGACCACTCTCTGTGAGGGGAAGTTGCTCAACTGTGCCCCCATCCCAGCCCCCTCTTCCCTGCGCCTGCTCCCCCCTCCCCACTCGCCCTCTGGCAGGAAGGTAAGGGAAATGGAAGCCTCCTCTCATGTAGTGCACTTCACCTGAAGCCTTGCCTCATTTCCACGTGTTTTCAAGGCGAACCTGGAGCACAGCAAAGGTAGATGCCTCCCTTCTCCAGGTAGGGGAGGGATGGAAGGCCTGGTCCAGAGGACATCTTGGTGCAGTCTGTCCCACAGCCCTTCATAGATGTTGATCCTAACAGCTCTTTAGAAATCTGCTCATCCAAACCTCTTACCAAACAGGTGGGAAACTGAGGCTCTGAGAAGAGAATTTCTGTCTCATGTTCATGCAGGGTCACGATTCTAGTCTACCTGGACCTCCTGACCTGCTCTTAAGGGCTCTTGATAACAAACTCTCCACGTCGCCTTCCCTGGTTCCGGAGGCCTCGCACTTGTCTGGGGCTTTTGGCACCTTTTTCCGGAAGAAGAAAGGGTCCATGGAGGACGAGGGGAGGGAGATTTCCTGGGTGACAGCTTTCTTAAGTGTGGGGACTCCTCCCCAAACTGTCAGGGCACACAATTTTGCTGCCAACTGGACCCAAATAGCTTTAGTGTAGCCTCAGTTCTCCCTTTTTCCAATTAGAAATGTAGAGAGAGAAGCAGAGTCCCTGGTAAGATGATACACATATACTTGTGAGTTAGAGACCCTGGACCCTTGTCCAGCCCTCTCTCCCTTCCTGTCATTCATTCACTCACTCACTCATTAATTAATTCATTCATTTATTCAGTGATACACGCTCTCCCTCCCGCCTCATTCCACCTCACTCAACTGTGCACCAGGTGCGTGAGCTCTCTACCCTTTAGGAACTCCCAACTTAGATATTTATATACATGCACAGATATCAAAACGGGCCCATAAGAAAAACACTCTGAATACTCCCCCAAAAGGCTATGTCAACTTTCGTCTCTGGGGTTCAGGGAAGGTCCCACAGAGAAGGCGACATTTGAGTTGGCCCTGGACAGAGGAGGGAGGCCTGGAGGTGGGTTAGGACCCGCTGGGATGGAAAGCCCGAGGAAGGAGCCTTCACCTGCTTCAGAAGCTCACTGTGCTCCAAGGTGGGACGAGAGGCAGAAGGCTGGCTGCTGGGGATGTGACTGCCCCAAAACGTGCGGTAAAGGGCGGGCAGCAGTGGCCCCTGGGGTGGACAACAAGCAGAGGTCCTGCTGGTCCTATGCTTCGCCCTCCAGGGGGGCATCTTGACCTCTACATTTGTTAGAAAATGGAAACAAACAATAACGCAGCCAGGACAGACTCACCTGCCTGGAGCTACTGTGATGATTATTTACCTCCCCCTCAGCCTGATTCACTGAGGTCCAGGAGGATGCTCTGTGGACTGGTCCACATATAATAGTTTGTATGGTGGGTCTGGGGGGGCGGGTGGTGGGAAGCATAGCAGAGTGGCTTTGCTGGTAGCCTCCTGTCCCCACATCCCTCAATCTGGCTCTTTGTTCCAAAGTCACTTAAGAGGTAAAGGCTCTAGATGTCCTCCCTTCCCCCACATCTACCAGGGGCGTTTCTCAGGCTCTTTCAAGGATCACATGCCTGTGGGGGGAGGGAGAGTGTGAGGGCAGAGAGGAGTGGAGGGGGCAGGGCAGGTGGCTGGGCTGGAGCACAGGGCTCCGTCTCCACTTAGGAGCTGGCCATGTCTCGGTGTTTGCTCACTTTCTCTAATCTTGGGCTTCTTGTTTTGGTTTGATGTCCTGTATGCATATCCCTCGATCCTCATTCTTTCTCCCCCTCAACATGACCTAGCCACGGATTCTCTACTGTGAGAAGATCTTTGGGCCCCACGGGCCTCTCTGCTCTGACTTCCAAGCCCAAATGTTACTGTCGCATCTTTAGCTGTTGAGGAAACAGGTAAAAGATTGCAAACTCTCCCAAGTGTTCTAACACCTGATTAGCATTAGTTACCTACCAGCCCCTCCTGACTAAATTCTGGTTATAAGCTCTTCTAATCTTGCAGCTCCGCCTTCATGCCTAGCACAGGTGCCCACTGCCCTCCATCAAGGCCTGTGCAGTCAGTTCTTCATCCTGGGGAGTGGCACAGAAAGAGAAGCTACTGAGGTGTCCAGGAGCCCATTTGGAGTGAGCATCGTGACCTCAGGGTGAAACAGGACAGGTAGTGTGACAGAAGGAGACAGCTTGTTCCCAGAACCTGCTGGGAACATCAGAGCCCATGGCCTGGAGGTGTGGGGGAGGGTGCCCTTTGGGCTGCCAACAGACTGAAGCCTTCATCACCCCTCATTCTCGCTCTTATCTATGTGTTGAGCTAGGAGGGCCTCTCCCTACAGGTTTATCAGTAAGGGCCCAAAGCCAGGAGCATGCCTGCTAATTTTTTTTCTGTCACTTCCTAGGTGATCACTTTGGCCCAGAAAGTAAGTGTATGAACATAAGGGGGGAAGATGTGGTTTAGCAGCAGAAATAAAAAACAACAACAACTTAGGGTTTGAGCTTATAGTAAGCGTTACAAGACTCAATGTTATAATGTGGCTGTCAAAGAGCAAATTCTGTCTTTGATTGTATTATTAGAAATATGAGCGAGAAAATAAGGGAGGTGATATTCCTATTCTACTCTATATTGCTCAGATTACACCTGGCTTATTATGTTCAGTTATAGGCTTCACATTTGAAGAAAGGTCAATACAAGTATGAAAGTGAGAAAAAGGTGATCAGAATGGTGGGTGGGCTTGAAATTATATCACTCTGAGGAAGGATTAAGGATGTTTAGTCTGGAGAAGTGATGACTAGGGAGCAGTGGGAGGCATATGACAGGTGTTTTCAAGTACACACAGATGCGCCACGTAGAAGAGGGTTATATTTGTTCTTAGTGGCCTCATGGGTAGAATTAGGAGCAATTTCTTTTCCTATCACCTCTTCCCCGTAGAACTACTTTCTTAGAGACAGACCCTGCAGGACACAGACAGGTGGAAAAAGAAACCTGGTGATTCTGGAGTTAACATAGCCCGGAAAGAGGGCAAGTCCTCCCCTAGGGGTACCTGGAAGGAGCAGGCATGATCCCTGCATACCCCCACCAGGTGGAATAGAACACCTGTCTGAGCAGGTGGGGCCAAAGCCCTGAATCCAAGTCAGTAAATCAAGTCGAAGCCCCTTCCTGCCGTCTTGACTGCACCTTCCCGCCCACGTCATTGTAGCTCTTCAGTGGACTTGTCCGGTGCAAGTGCTGTGCACGGACGTTAATTTTGGGTTGGTCTTCACTGGCCAGGCCTCTGTATCCCGAAATCACATCTGCACTCTGCACATAACATCCTGTGCTCTGGGCCCGCTTCTACAAACGTCATCTTATGGTTCCCGAGGTCCTGTCTTTCTCTCTCACTAGGCCAGTGGTTCTCAACCTTCTGGCCCTTTAAATACAGTTCCTCATGTTGTGACCCAACCATAAAATTATTTTCGTTGCTACTTCATCACTGTAATGTTGCTACTGTTATGAATCGTAATGTAAATATCTGATATGCAGGATGGTCTTAGGCGACCCCTGTGAAAGGGTCGTTCGACCGCCAAAGGGGTTGCGACCCACAGGTTGAGAACCGCTGCACTAGGCCATGGACCTTTTAAAAGAAAAGAAAGCCCTACATTTCCTGCTCTGAGACGTTCCCGGCATCTTGTAGGTGCTCAATAAACATCTGTTAAATGGGTAAAGGTGAAGAGAGGCTGTGACTGAGGAGACTTGGGGTCCGGGTCTTACACTCCCTTCCCTTCATCCTCCTGGCCCCTCTCCGCTCCAGCATTGATCAGAGCCTGTCCCAGAGTTTCAGGAGCTCTGACCAGATGTTTTCCTGCTCCTCGGGGCTGAAGGTCCCTCATCCCTGAGGTGGGCACATTCTCTCGAGGCTGTAGAGGAGGGGAGCTGGGCCAAAGCCTGCCCATTGAAGGTCTCCTCTCTCTGGCCCCTCCCTCCCAAGGCCTAAGTTAGTTCTCCAGGTGAGGGGAAAACCCTAGGGCAGCCGTGGGCAAACTACAGCCCGCGGGCCGGATCCGGCCCGTTCGCTGTTCTATCGGGCCCGCGGAGCCCAGGAGGGTTCTCTTGCTCTCCCCTCCGCTCCTTCACCAGCAGCAGTGTTAACATGGCAACGTCGGGAAACACGGCCGCAGCTCCTTCTTCTGAGTCCAGTTTAAGAACCCATTGTGGCCCTCCAGTCAAAAAGTTTGCCCACCCTTGCCCTAGGGCCTACCTGTCCCCTTCCTGCTCAAGGAGGAAGAGGGAGCCCGGGGAATCCTGTAGCAGGCAAACGCAAAGCCATTGTTTTAGCTCAGCTCCCCTGTAATCTGCTCCACACAATCTCTCCTACCTGCCTGGAGGCTTTCTGGGTTTGGGGAACTTCCATTTCCGTGGAGAATGGTCATTGGAGATTTTATTTGTCTGTGTTTACAACATCCGGGGACTACTTTAGGAAAGCAGAGGAATGGGGAAGTTTCCAATGGGAGATACTTTGATCAGCTGAAACAGCTCGTGCTCCTGAACCCCGAGAGGGAGATCCGGAAACAGTGAACAGGAAGTGGTTGTGCTCCTTCAGTCCTTGACTCATGGTTCTCAGCGTTTGGGGAACTAGAGGGTGTGGACAGCACAGAGGAAAGGCAGGGGCCATCTGTTAATGCATATCTTCATTCAACGTTTATTGGGCACCTACTGCA